TCCCTCATTGAATTGTTAATGACATCTGCATCCCTTGTAGATACTTTTACATAGGTGTTAAGTTTGCATTTATCAAGCACCGGTCTTATTTTCTTTTTATTATCTTGAAGACGCACATCAACGGTAGTAATCCTTTAACTTTTCCCAAAAATTTGTCGTCATATTTCATAAGTATGTCTTCTTATTTCCAACGTTTCGCTACTAAATCTTTATTTGAAACATCTGGCACTTCAGGTGTTGTTAATTCTTATATGGTCTTGTAAATCTTCAACAACAGAGCAGCAAGCAAGTACGCTCTGAATGAATATTGTTTACCGTGAAGAAAGAAGTCATCTGCCAAATAAATCGCTTTAGCTGTTCATCTTCATACTGCGGAGATAATAGACATGGACAGTTAGCTTGTTATTCAACGCATTTAAAAGCCATTTTGTTTTTCATTTTTTAAATACTTATCAACGACCTTAACATTTTAACAACAAAATTGTTTGCTACACATAACATTAAAAAAAACATCTTGTGACTCTTGTCAACAATTACTGATCGTTATACAAAACATTATAATAAAAATATGCAACGTGTGACTTTTGTCAGTAATCAGCAAAGTTAATTGACAAATTATTGATGCACATTAAAATCACAACTAAAAGCTTGTTGGGATATTTGATAGTAAATTTTATTAACAATAAGTAATCAACTATAATGTAATAAGCTTTATTTTATTAAGTTTATGTTATTATTTACAAAAAAAAATCCAAATATATGTAGGTAGTTAGCTCAAGGCCACAAGCAAAACACAGTAAATTCAAATTGCTACAACTTATTCACAGTGAGAAAATGGGCAGCTGTCAAGCAAAATAAAAATACTGTCAAAATTTACTAGACACTTCAGTCTTGAATTTGGCTTTGTTTTTAGGTATTGCAAACAAGTTTACAGCATTAAATGCATATTAGTAAGTGTATACAAGTTTACAACATGTCCTCTCATTTAATGAGACTTTTAAATATGCACTTAACAAGCCATATAGATAAGAATCAAAATCATTCTTATCTATCTTATCTACAAGTTTTAAAAAAAAATTATAATTTAAAAATAGTAACAAGTTTTCAACATGTTAAATCAATACTAGTTTACAACATTTATATTGTCTTGCCAATTTTGAATAACTTAGCTGGCATGAAAATGTTTTTTATGTTTTTTTTTTAAGTACAAAATTGTCTGAGCAACCCTTGAATCTTAAAACAGCTATTTTTGTTTAAAAAACTTACGTATGATACCTCAGTAATTATTATAGAAACACTAAAAAAAAATTATATTTTATTAATTTATTGAACATATAATTTTAAACATTTATTCAAGAATCAGAGTGATAATGTAAGCAACAACTTATACTTATATATATATATATATATATATATATATATATATATATATATATATATATATATATATATATATATATATATATATATATCAAGAATCAGAGTGATAATGTAAGCAACAACTTATACTTATATATATATATATATATATATATATATATAATATATATATATATATATATATATATATATATATATATATATATATATATATATATATATATATATATATATATATATATATATATATATATATATATATATATATATATATACATATATATATATATATATATATATATATATATATATATTATATATATATATATATATATTTATATATATATATATATATATATATATATATATATATATATATATATATATATATATATATATATATATATATGTATATATATATATATTATATATATATATATATGGAATTTTCAATTGTTTAACGCTTAGTTGTTAGGAATAATGATTAAGTGTTGAATTTTATACATAATAATTACAGTTAATAGAAATGAGAAAAGGTAATAAAAAATAAGAGCCGTGTTAAAATCATCTTTTCAATAATTACTAACTATACCTTACTTTTTAATACTAATTTAATAGAATAATAAAGCTGATTTTATTTTAGACAACTATAGCATAAACAGTCGGTGATCAAAATTTTAGCATGCAACAAAAGTAGGTAGCAATTATTTATGCACATTTTCCATCTGTGCTAAGTCAAAAACCTTCTAGGTCTGCAGTATAAATAATTTTAATGATCTACTCTTGGTGCAAGCTAAAGATTGCTAATGTTGTACTAAAATTTCTAATCACAAGAACTGACTTTTATTTTAAGTATATTATTAGTTAAGTAGACAACATTTTGATATAACATATTTTGTTTTAGTTATGTATGCATACTATCTATGAAAGATTTTAATTTTATACAGATATAATCAATATAGAATAAAATTTATAATTAATATTCATACATCCTATCTTATATCAATATTATAGAATCTTATATCAATATTATCTTATATCAATATTATCTAATATCAATATTATAGAATATAACAGTATAAATAAAACAAAAATGTATAAATGATAAACATTCATTTCTTCTTATTATTATCAATATTATGAATATGATTATAGATATATTAATTATAAATGTGATGTCATTATATATTATAATGGCATCACAAATATAAGATAGATCTTATATTTGTGATGTCATTATAATTTAAAATTAAAAATTTAAAAATTAAAAAGTTATAGATTTAAAAAGTTTTAGATCTATAACTTTTTAAATCTATAAATTTTTATATATCTTAATGTAAATGTAAACATGGACTTCTATAACCTTATATAAGGTTAAAGAAACTTATATTTTTATATTTACCTTAAAATATACTATAGTATATTACCTTATATATATTACCTTATAATATAAAATATATTATATTACCTTTTAATATAAAATATATTATATTACCTTTTAATATATTACCTATATATATATATATATATATATATATATATATATATATATATATATATATATACCTTATAATATATAATATATAATAATATATAAATATATATTACCTTATAATATATAATACATAATAATATATAATTACCTTACAATATATAGAAGTCTTATATTTACCTTCATTCAAAATAAATATAATTATATTTATTTTGAATGAAGGTAAATATAAGATTTTGTTATAAAAGAATTTTTATAATCTTTTTTCATTATATAAGAATTATTATAATTAATAGAAAAACTCACCATTGTACTTTATTATTTTTCAAACTTAATAAACAAGTTCTGATAATTTTTTACTTCACTAAACTAGTTGCTATTAGAAGAACGCGCGTTGTTTTTAAATTTAAAACAAGGTTTAGAATTTAAACCTACTAAAACAACGCATGCGTTAAAAATTTCCTCAAGTCTTAGAGTCCGGTTAACGAGAAGTTTTAAAATCGGACTCTGCGAAACTCATAATTTTTAACCAATCAAAACAGGGATCGATCTCAGGAAATAGCCGTTCGTCAAGATTATAGAAACTAATCATTGACAACGAGTAATTTGTTTAATTTTAGATAATTAAATAGGTTTTTAACTAGTTTTTTCATGAAATTATTTTGAAAATAGCTTGCAGCTGTATGAAGAAATTTTAAAAATAAAATACAAGATCTCTGAATGTAAATAATATCTACTTTCAGCTAAAGCAACTTTAGTTTTTTTGTTTACAATTTTTAAATCTTTTTTAAAATATTTTTGAGCGTAGAAATTTTTTAATTTAAATTTATTCAGCAAGATGAACCTTTTATCTATTTTGTATTTTTTGCTTATATGAGGATTCAATTTTTTTTGCAGGGTTAAAAGAAAATCTTAATCATTAAACTTGTGTAACCTGTTGCTATGGTGCTCTTTTCCGATGTGGCTATATATATATATATATATATATATATATATATATATATATATATATATATATATATATATATATATATATATATATATATATATATATATATATATATATATATATATATATATATATATATATAATATAAACACTTATCTATTTTTTTGATAAACCTTCTGAAGGAGTTGAACAGACTGTCAAAGAGTGCTCAATATTCTTAAAGAAGAGAGCATAGTATTGTTATATGTTAGTAACATGATATTTTTATATGTTAGTAACATAATATTGTACAATATTTTATAACATAATATTGTTATATGTTGGTAACATTATATATATATATATAAATATATATATATATATATATATATATATATATATATATATATATATATATATATATATATATATATATATATATATATATATATATATATATATATATTAGGGCCCTGCAAATCGACATTTTTTGTTTCAAGTTGAATCTCAAAGCAGGTCTTGATTCGCGAATCGAATCAAGACCTGCTTTGAGATTAATCAAAGAAATATTTTTATCAAAAAGATAAAAATATTTCTTTGAACAAATTCTTTTTGCTCGGATTATATTTTTGGCATTTATTTTAAAGTGATGTTAGAACTATTTTCAATTACTCTTTCTCCCCTTGGTTTCAATTACATTTTAGCTTTAGAAATCTAAAAAGCAATATTCACAAAATAATTCGCAAAAATATGATTTGAAAAAACTTGAATCTTTTTTTTTCAACTCAAATTGAAGCGACACTTGATTCACGAATTGAAGCAATTCACAAGACCCTAATATATATATATATATATATATATATATATATATATATATATATATATATATATATATATATATATATATATATATATATATACGCATACATTAATTATATATTTATGCAAACTTATCTATGATCAAAATTTTGAATGTTATTATTCCAGGCTTTCGATTTAGTCAATAACCTCAAATAAATTAACTGTATTGCCTGCATCAAAGCAATACCATTATGTTTTTGATTTTATCGATTGAATGCTATCATTTTGATTCTATCGATTGAATCATCAGTCTGGTTTTGTACATATTGATTCAAAATTAATAAATTATGATAAAAATTGATTTAAAACAAACAAATATTATAGTATATATTTTTTTAGTATTCCAACCATATTCGCTTTTCAACAAAGAAACTTACCTGTTGTAAAGAAGGGAAAAGTAAACTAAAGCAGAAAGACTTTTTCTTGGAACTCGATATAAATATTTTTTGTGTTTCGTGTTTAAATTTTTTTTTTTTAATGTTTACAGCTTGAGATTGTTAAAATCAATATGAATATATTTAAAATATTTTTTACTTAAAGATTGAAAGAATGAAAAATGTTTTTAATGCATAAAAGATATATTTTTATTTGAATTATATTTTGATCTTTTATTTTGTGTTGATTGATATTTATTTGATGCATAAAATAAATTTATATTTTTTAAATTATACTAATGTTGCTTTTTCTTCTGTTTGTCTCTATTGCATTATTACGAATATTACAAACTTTATATAGCTTTATATCTAAAAATTAAATAATTTATCAAAGTTATGCTTTAAGTTCAAAACTTGTTTGTGTTTTTATTTATAATATTTATAGTTTTTTATTTATATTATTTTTTATTTATTTTATATATTTTATATTTATATCATATTATATTTTATATTATTTTATATATTAATTTTTATTTATATTATTTATAATATAAAAATTGACATTTAAAAGAAAATGCGAGTAATATACAGAAAAGTGACCTTTAAAAGTTAAAATGAATAAATTTATTTAATGTGATAAAAGCATATTAATTAAATATATATATATATATATATATATATATATATATCTATATATATATATATATATATATATATATATATCAACTTAGTTTCTCCACGTAGTGGCCTTGCTTTTCAAGGTTCGTGTTTCGGAGTTAAAGAGTTGAGAGAGGGTTGTCTCTTTGACTGTAGTAACCCCATCGGCCTTGGGAAGGTGAACAATGTAAAAATGTTTATTTATTTGAGGCAGTGGCCTTATTCTTCACAAAAATATTAATTAACAAATTATATTCAGATTATAAAATGATGTAAACTGGGGTCTAATTTTATTTGTATCTTTGTAACATTTATAACATAAAAAAAGAAACGTTCAAACCTTTTTTGAGTGGCGTTCAAAAAAATGTCTTTGACCCACTACATGGGGTGATATTGAGCCCTTGTTAATGTCAGTGAAAATGACAATTGTAAATATCTGAAAGTTATAGGGTAGTTTGATTGTTGTAATGATAGAAATAAGATTTTGCAAAATCCGCACAAATGTTGATGTATTAAATTAGTATAAAATTGAATTTTTATTTATGCCTAGAAACTAAATCATGGAAGCAGAAAGCATGTTAGAATAGGTTTATTATATGTACTTTAGAACAGATATAACGCATTAAAAGTCTTAAAAGTGGTTTATTACAAGCCTAAAAATACCAGATCAACTAAAGATATCTTTAGTAATCTTATTAATAAGATAAGATTAAATGCGAGGACTATTCTTCGCCCTATTTATAACCCAACTTTAAAGATGAAATTAAGAGGGAAAATACGCTAATCTTTGTTGCTGTCTTAGGCGACGCGAAGACTCTATTTATATAAAAAATAAATTTTAATTGAGATTAACGAGAACTTTGAGAAAGTCACTATAAATATAAAAAAATTTAATTTCTGAGTTTTATTATGCCTAGAAATTATAAACAAAAACTATGGAAGCAGAAAACATGTTATTTGTATCTGTCCTGGATTAAAGGGGGGAGCTATAGACCCAATCTCCGCAATTTTAGGTGCCCCGAAAATTGTAAATAAATAAGAGGACCTTTTTTAAATTATTATAAGGCTGTGGTGCATATAAAAAGACTCCAATCTCGGTAGCTGTATCAGGCGAAGCAAAAGCTAAACAACGGAAAATAATAGCGAAAGGTACGATTTGGGTTATTGATTCAGAGACAGTACCGACACAAGCTTCATCTTTTCTAAAAATTCCATTCAAAACAAGCATGCAGTGCTGGATTAAGGGTTGGCTGTAAACCTGAAATTTTTAAAAGGACCCCCTTTTTTTGTAAAAGTCGATTTTAGGCTGTGGCATATAAAAAATGCCTCCTAAAAAAAGAAGCCCTGGGTCCCGAAAAGTTTTAATCCGCTAGTATAGATGTGTTCTCTGTGTAATACACACTGTATATTCGGTAAAAACAAATATGGAAAAAGGAAAGATACATATTATTACACTGGTTATTTTTCAATGCGATTCACATATTTTTAATATTTTACATATTATGTGTTAAACAAAAAAATGGAAAAACCTATTTAGAGAAATATTATAACACAATCTGAAATAAAACGTGCCTTTTTGGCTTGTTTTCAAAAACTGGTAACTTAATTTTAGCTCTTTTAATAAAACAATTTTAATATTATCTTGTGTTACTTTTTAAATAGATAAAGTTTATTCCATCAGAACATCACAAAAATTTACAATCATTTAAACTCTCCCACAGTAAACAGTAACAGCTTTTCTCGCATTCGACGATGTTAGCGGTTTAGATGTAACAAAAAACTAATATTCAACTATTCTTGGAACTACACTGTCTTTTGTTAGTTTAAAAACATCTGATATGTTGGTTTTAGATAAATACGGTTTTAAATAAGTTGTTGGTGACACTGCTAATGCTGACAATGGCAATGTTAATGACAAAAATGTGGCCTTTTTAGAACATATGTCATTATGATTTTTATAGATTTCATATTCTTGAATTATATTAAATTTCATTTAGCATAAAATACATGCAACAGTCAACATTTTAATGAGAGAATTTATTTTGTTACTTGTTAATAAATCTTTATATAATAAATGTTCTTGGCATTGAGGACATATTGCTTTACTAATTGGCTTTAACTTTACATTTTCTACAATACAAAAAAAGCAGAAAAGATGCTCACATTTTTTTAAAGTTAAAGGTTGCTTTGGAATTTTACCACATATATTACATATACAATGTTGCAAATGAGGATTTAACTCATTAGTTAGCTCTGATATATCTATGTCTTCATCATGTATTATGGCTATTGCTTCTTTTATGGTAGTGAACATTGCAAATGTACACATCTGTGGTTCATTTTTTTGGCGGCCACATCTTGCTTTATTTCTAGATTGTTGTTTAGAAACTACTAAACCTTTTCTAAGCACTTTTACTGATTGGCAAAAAAAACAGTCATCACAGTGTGGTTTCCATTTAGTACAGGGACCAGGGGCAGTTGATGTTTTTCTTGAAAGCACATTGTTTATTGTACAATAACATTTTTAACACATTTTTGGAGGATGGACAATTTCCAAATCTGTCATTTCAACATAAAACAGCTTCTCTAATTTTACTTTAAGAACTTCTCCTATAAAATAATGCTTTTTACCAAGTAACTGTCCACAAACTCTGCAAAGGAATTTAATATTTTTGTTATGAAGTTCCATTTTATTTAATATTAGACTATTTTAAAAATGTTATATATATACAATTATATAAAAAAATTTTTACAAATCCTAGTAATAATTACTAGGATTTGTAAAAAATTCTTTTTGTATATATCTGTATATATATATCTGTATATATATATATATATATATATATATATATATATAT